CCAACAGTGACCTGTCAGATGCAAGCTGCCGGAGCCCACGTTTGCTTTACAGGGGAGAAGCTGCTGTGCTATTTCTCAAATACTCTCCTTTAGTGAACAGAAAATATTTGACATTTCTCAAACTCCAGATATTATCTTTTGACTTCTCTAGATTTAAAAAAAAAGTCACTTAGAGAAACACAAAAATTATCTAAATCAAACATCCTTATTCTCTATTCCACAAAATTATGTACGTGCTTTGGGAAGCCAGATTTAATAAGCCAAAGTACACTTTGGATGAAAATCCTACTAAGAACCAGTCAAGTTTGACGTGACATTCTAGAAACTCAGAACTATACCTTTATCTCAAAGACAGCTGCTCTAAACAAGAGGCCTGCCGATATATTTTGGATTTACAGGCCAAATAAATGACTGTTCCAAAATTCTTCCTTCTACTGTAAACGGTTTTAGGCTTCGTGATGCAATGTGTACTTCAGCTCCGTAAGCTGGATATGCATTTCTCATTTCATAAATGTAAACATATTCTGCTGAACTTCCACAGAGGCCAGGACAAATTTTTCTGATACATGTGTCTAAGCCTTCCAAGATGGGGGAAAAAAAAACCTCTTTAAAGTGCTAAGAAGTTCCCCAAAAAACTAGTGTCTCGACTCCTGCTGTGCTCCCCACGCCAGGAAATGCCAGTTACAGTGGCTCACACACTACTGGCTGATTTCTGTTTCCACCCAGCAATCCTGCAGCCCGTTTCTGCCCCACGATTCCTAGCACACCACTTACATCACTGCCTGTGTCACAGCCCCAATGCGTGGCATCCGCGTACATCCACGTACTACTGTTGGGGCTCCACAGCCTCCCAGATGGCATTTCCCTCTGTGCAGGGAACTTCTTGAAGATGTCACCACAGGCAGTCCCCAGTAAAGTCTCAGCTGTAAATACCAGTCTTCCCGCAGCCATGCCGAGAGCAGCACAACAGTGAAACGTAGTTTCTGCCCATCTCTGTAGCACCCTGTGGCACAGGCACAAACTTCAGGCTCACTTCTACAGCAGCATCTGTTGAGAGCTCTCGAAACACAGTGCCGTTCATTCAACGAGAAGAACAGAAACGGGTGTTTATAATAACTGAACATTTTACTCTGTCCAGCTCTGGGCTCCCCAGTTCAAGAAAGATGAGGAGCTACTGGAGAGAGTCCAGCGGAGGGCTACGAGGATGATGAGGGGACTGGAGCATCTCCCCTACGAGGAGAGGCTGAGGGAGCTGGGCTTGTTCAGCCTGAAGAAGAGAAGGCTGAGAGGGGACCTAATACATACTTACAAATATCTGAAGGGTGGGTGTCAGGAGGATGGGGCCAGACTCTTTTCAGTGGTGCCCAGTGACAGGACAAGGGGCAATGGGCACAAACGGAAGCAGAGGAAGTTCCGTCTGAACATGAGGAAGAACTTCTTCCCTCTGAGGGGGACAGAGCCCTGGCCCAGGCTGCCCAGGGAGGTTGTGGAGTCTCCTTCTCTGGACCTATTCCAGACCCGCCTGGACAAGGTCCTGTGCAGC